AAAAAAAAAACAGAGGTTGAAATCGGCTGCTCTTACTCTTCACCATTTGTCTACTGTTTACATTCCTTAGAGCTTCACTGCTCTCTTCTTCTCTTTCCTCATCGCCTGCTCTTCCTCTTAAGCCCTTTTCTCTCTCTCTCTCTCTCTCTCTCTCTCATGCTTCATGTTTGAAATCGACTTGCAGAGTAAAAAAGCTGGGTTTTTTTTTTTTTTTTTTAGTTTCAACTTACTCACCAAAACGACGTCGTTTTGGTGAGTTTTAATTTCAGCCATTGGATTGTTTACTGTAGGAGATCACTCTAGACAACTTACTCTAGAGGATCCTGACGCATAGTTCTGTCCCCGGGAGGAGGGTTGTCAGAGGGAAGGAGTGCAGAATAGAATAGTGCATAGAGCTGTTAAAAAATAATCATAGAGATTTTTGTTAGAATTGTTCATTGAAGAGTTAGATAGCAATCGAAAAACAATCGTTGAATATATTGTTGGCAATTGAAGATGGTTATCAGAGGTGGTGCTCGGTGATGGCCGGTGGTGGCTAATTGTGGTTGTGTGAGCTAGCGGAACAATAGATTTGTGAAATTTAATTTTGGATTTTTTTTGTTTTTGATAAAGGAAAATTGTTTAACTCAATATATATATATATATGAAAATTTGAAATTGGCAATCTCTCACCAAAAATATTAAAAAAATGATAAGTTCCTTCTAATGAAAGGTCCTACTTTACTTATGTACACGCTAATAACTTGATCTCTGTGAATTAGATTGGTTTGATTTTATCGATACATTAGTTATGTTTAGAGTCCAAATATAACCAACCTAATCAAATTGATTTGGGTTTTAAATTAGGTATAAGCTAACCCGAATCATACCAAAATTCAAATTTAAAAAAATTAAGAAGAATTTAGTTAGAAATTATGTGGAGATCACATGAAAACATAATCAAATTTTTAGAAATTCAGTTTGAAAATTTTCTATATATATAACATAAAGTAATTTTAAAAATATTTAAGAATATCCTTAAAATAATTTGGAGAATTTTTTGAAAACATTTGACAAACTTTGGAAACCATCTTACATATGGGAGGGTGACATTGGGTTGTGGAATGAGTCTAAGGCCTTGTTTGGAAACCCTTCATTTTAGTCAAAAAAATTAAAAAGTTACTAAATTAGTCAAAAAGCCAACAATTCATACCAAAAAGTCAAAGATTCTCTTTTTTCTCTACCTTTTGCACATCTTTTCGTAAAAAATTAAAAAATCATCTCAAACATATTAATTTTTTTTAGCTTATATTTTAGCTAAATAACTAAAAAATTACTAAATTAACCTGTTCCCAAACGGGACCTAATTAATGGATGTTGAATTATCAATTTTCTAAACAATAATAATATATGGTGTCTAATTACCACACTACAAATCTGGGTGGAGTGACCATCAAAGTGGTTGTGGGTCCATCCCAAATTTGTATGTATTTTATTCATTGTCTTATGTGTGATTATTATATTTTTAATAAAAATGAAAGTTAGATAATTTTAAATCATGATTCATTAATTTATTTATAATGATATTTTACCTCATTTATTAATTAGTTTGGGGATGCATAGAACTGATATGCCTGTAAGGAGGTATGGCTTTTAAAGATTCTGGGAATCAAGTGTAACGTAAAAAGCTACTTCTCATATGCATTTTTTTGGTTTGGAAGTTCCATTCTCTTGGTACTGACCCTGAAAGGGAGTTTGTGAGGCGACACAGGTATGGTATAAACAAGATCTCGTGTAACCTACATAGCCTGTGTTTGGCAAGTGGGTTTGCAGGCTTTTTTGGTTATTTTAGCTACAAAAAACAAAATAGGTTATTTTAGCCATAACAAACAAAACATCACATCCAACCCATAATCATTACATTCTTCTCTCACAAAAAAACTCAAAAAAGCCAAAAAGTCAAAAAGCCCTTCACAAACCAAACTTTTAAGCCCAGACTAAAATAGTCAAAATAGCCAAAAAGTCAAAAAGCCAACCCACTTCCCAAACGGAGGCATATAGTGGTTTCTCTTTCCTTTCTCCTGGAGAAAGGGCTCTAGTTAATTTGAGGTGTGAGAGAGAAGCTCTGCTAGGCTTTTTGGTTTTGTGATAGGTGAGCGTTCGACAGGGGTTCTTTTTCGACGGAAGAGGTTGATCTGTTGCTTGAGAGTATTTTAAATCATGATTCATTAATTTATTTATAATGATATTTTACATCATTTATTAATTAGTTTAAAAATAAACAACCTAAACCTAGTCTCTCCTGTCACACTATTAGGGATGAAATTAGACTCATACATCTCTAATATTCCCCCATTCATAACATGCTTTGGAAGTGAAATCCATTAAACCAACATAATAGTAACACAAATGATAAGAAAATATGATGATTATACTATTATTGTTGTTAGTATAGTATTAATGTCCCTAACATTTATGATTTAAAAAAAATAAGAACAAAAACAAGAAAAATAATATATAAGTCGACTTTTTAGACCTAGTGATGTGTCAATAATATAATTTGTTGATAATTAGATAATATAATGCATGTTGGTTAAAATGCTTAATACAATTTATTTTTTTAATTCCAATAGACTAGGTATATGATTAGAGGTTTTATCCCAACTCACATTCACTAATTAAATGTAAGTAACCTTCAAAGCTTAGGCGAAATCTATTTGATTCTTGTAATATATATTTTCCTTCTATCTTTATGGTTGATGTAGCATTTTATAAATAAAAAAAAAAGTAAGCAGGGTAAGAATGAAAACATAAAAAGGTGGATAGGTACAACAAAAAATATGTATAATAGTATAATAATTATTAAATAAGTATAATGCTTAATAACATTAGAGAAGCTCTAACATTGATAAACCTTTTTTTTAAAGTGGCATCAGCCTCTTGAAAGGCATGGCTCTTCATTATTGGGAAATAGTTATTTTAGTTGATTTTTTGATTTTTTATAAGGGTATGGCTTGTCTCCAGTCCTAGATTAAATTGGAGTGTGTTGTTAGGCTTGTGGGAATTTATTATGGATTCTGTTTAGATAATTCACACTATTTAATGTGTAGAGCTTATCGAGTACTTTATCCTTGTAAAAAATCACATTGATCGGATATCAATAGTTACTTGATCAAATCAAATTTATCTCAACAGTAAATATAATTTTCAAAATAAATTGTTTACAAAAATCTGATTCAATCAATGTAATTTTTTACAGGAATAAAATACTCAATGAGCTTTACAAGTTGAACGATTCGAATTATCGAAACAGAGCCAGTGATAAGCTCTACGGGTCCAACAGTACCGTCCAATCCACTTTATGGAGGCAAGCCAAACTCTTTTATAAAAGATGTGTATAAAAAGAGCAAAAATAATGTGGTTGCATTTTTGCTTTTTTAGGGGTTTGGAATTTACTTATTTTTTGATTTATGGGCTTTTCATAAAAAAAAAAAATGTATAAAAAATAGAAATGTGATATGATAATTTATAATAAATGAATTGCTTATTCAAGGGTTTGCAAAATCACCCCAAACGGTGCCTTAGGGTATGTTTAGTTTGTGTTTTGAAACATGTTTTTGGAAAAAAAAAATTCCAAAAACATGTTTGGTTACAAATTTGCTCAAAAAAATTTCAAAATTATTTCTCTTTCAATTACACATCAATCAATCACTTTTTCTCTCTCCTCTCTCCTTCTTAATAACTTTTTCTCTCACACACATCTACTCAACTACAACAAAAACTCGGGCGGGCTCAACCCGAGCAACCCGAGCCCAGCCCGAGTTTTTTTAGGGCTTGGGCAACTATATCTTGTAATCTGGACGGGCTTGGGCAGATTTTTGATGCCCGAATTGCAATTCGGGCCGGGTTTGGGCAGAACCAATGGCCGAGTTGCACCCCTATACTCAACTACAACAAAATATCAAATCATTCCAAACTCCCAAACTCCAATACTATTTTCAAAATATACAACCAAACAAATCCAAAAAAAAAAAAAATTAAACTCTCTCCCCAAATTTTTTTTTAAAATTTATCTTAAAACACAAACCAAACACACTCTTAGGGTGTGTTTGATTGGACAGACTGAATAAGGAGAGATTAGAATCCATCGGACTTGAATCCATGGATTGTGAATCCCCTCGGACTATTTGGTTGGATTGGATGTATCCCCGTGTTTGTTTTCTCATGAGATTAGATGTCTAGAAATGACTATTTTTAGTAAATCCAATATTTGCTTGGACAGACTAAATAAGAATAAAGGAGATAAAGACTATTTTATCCTTTTTCAAAAAATTTATTTTATTTTATTTTTTACACAATTAAATAAATTTATTTTTTAAAAATAAAATAAATAAAATATCAATAAAAATATATGCTATTTTTTTAATTAAAACTTTAAATAAATTTATTTAAAATAATAATAATAATTAAATAATGAATTTAACTAAAACATCTATTAAAATTTAAATAATGAAATTAAATAAAATATAAACAAAATTTTAGAATAAAATATCTATAAAAATTATTTTAAAAAATTAAATAAATAAAACATTAAAAAAAAGTTAAATAAATTATTTTATTTTTAAATTGAGACATTTAAATTTTATTGAATTTTATTAAATATAATACATAATTAAATAGTAGAGGGTCAAAATAATTATTTCACTACATAATCCCAACAGTAAATAATCTCATAAAAATTGTCCCACACCCTCCCGGGATAGTATAATCACATATATAGATAAGGAGTCCGGCTAAATTCTATGTTTAGCGAAGTAAAAAAAAATGCCAAATAAAAAACTTTCCTTAAATTATAATTCGAAGAGTAAATAATCCTCCTTAATCTCCCAATGATACGCACCCCTAATGTTTTAATTTGAAGTGATACTTGATGAGTCCCGATCTTCTGCCATACATTCCTGCCATACATTCCTGCCATACATACAAAACGACGTCTCGTTTTGTATTAGTTTTTTTTTGTTTTTTTTTTTTTTTTCAAAATGCTTTTACGTTGCTTCAGAACTGTTTAGAACCCTAGGGGTGTTGCTTCAAAACTCAGACGAATTGAGAGTAGAGGGAACACGACGAGGAGAGGAGAGGCAGCGGTGAGGCAAGGGGAAACGACGGCGACGACAGCGAAACGACAGCGGCGAGGTACGTTCGTCTTCAGGATCATTTTTCTCCCTTCTCCCTTCGTCTTTTATTACTTTTTTTTATATGATTTTGTTGGCAATAGAGGCTTTTGATTTATGGATTTGTTGCCTATCATATGATTTCTGGATTTGTTGCCAATAGATGCTTTTATTACATTCCAGGACACATATCATTACTGTAATTGATGAGCTGCATTTTAACAAGGAAATGACTTCTCTCCATTTGGAGAGTTAATTGGACCGAACCAGTTCTATCCAATGGGCTCATCATATGGCTCACTTCAACAATTCACATCGTTGATATATTGGATGAAATTGATGTTGATTGTTGTGGTTGAATTTTTGCTCAAATTTTGACTTTTAATGATCATAGTGCTGTTGTAAGTTCTGTAATTATAGTCAGCTTCTTAATTTCCAATAATAGAACTCAGATTCTTACTTGATGTTGAAACATGAATATAGTGCCAACTGAATTCTTTTCAATCTTGAAAAGAATTCTTGTGGATTTCATTTTCTACTTTCCAAAGTCATCCAAGATAGTTATTCAGATTGCCTATTACATGTTTGTTTATATGCCAAGCTCAAGTTGAAGACTGTTTGGCAACCATTGAAAAGAGAGAGAGACAGAGGGGCTGGTTGATTCAGATTGGCAAGGCTGGTTTATTACCATTGAAAAGAGAGAGAGACAGAGGGGCTGGTTTATTACCATTGAAAAGAGAGAGAGACAGAGGGACTGGTTTATTACCATTGAAAAGAGAGAGAGACAGAGGGGCTGGTTTATTACCATTGAAAAGAGAGAGAGACACAGGGGCTGGTTTATTATAATCACTTTTGACTTATAGGCTTGCCATCTTGTGGTATTAGCTAATTGACACTTGAAAACATACATTGACACATATCATTATGATAGGCACCTCCACATGTTTGCTATGTCTATGCTGCACAATCACAAGAAATGGGTTAACCATAGTCATATTGAACCTAATTTATTGGCAGCTGGGGTTATGGCCGGCATTTTAGACCTTGAGGTCACAGAAAGTGTATAGGTCTAAATTTTCAAGAAAACATTGACACATAAGAGGAGAGTAGAGCATAGATTTGTCATGTTTCTGGAGGAACTCTGTCATCTGGTCCGGCAAGCATGATCTATCATTTTATAAATAATTACATGATTTCCGGGGAGGCTATTTCGGTGACTCAAAGCATAGATGAGTAAATTATAGACAATTATTCCATGTAAATCATATAATAGAAACTTGACTCACATTGCAATCAAATGCAAACCTCCTGGCAAGCATGATGGCTGCATTCCTTTCCCTCTCTGACTCGAATGCCAATATAAAAGAAAGCCCTACTTTTGCTTGCCAAAATGATGCTTGAGCTGCAGCATTCCCACCACCTCTAACTCCACATAACTAAACGATGAGGAAGCAAGTCAGAAGTACTATAAACATGGTTTTTGTCTCCATCAGGGTCCAAGAAAATAAAAATTAACATTTTAACACAAATGCCTAAGCCTATAATAGAGGCCGTGACTAGCTTCGGATAAAACAAAACCATGTATATGATCTAAGAAGGAACTATGTATATGATCTAAGAATGAACATGAACTATGTATATGACTAGGATGAACATGAACATGAACTATGTAGATGATGTAGGAGTGAACATGAACATGAACTATGTATATGAGTAGGATTAACATGAACGTGAAAATGACAATGTTTATTTGAGTGAACATGACAATGTTTTTTTTCCCATAACATATGAGTGAACATGAACATGAACTATGATAGTTATTATATCATTGATTAGTGCTTTATTTGACAGCTTTGTTTGAATGTTGTCTTAATGGACTGAATGTAATTGTGGAAAATGCTCTTACTAGGATCATGTCAATGTCAATGGGTTCAAACGTTGATGCTGGATATTTGCAAAATCAGAGATGCAATTGTGGAAAAAAAGCTGCAATGTTCATATCAGAATCAGAGAAAAATCCAGGGAAGCTGTATTTCAAGTGTCCAAATAGGATGTGCGAGTTCTTTGGGTGAGGACCGGCTTCGACTGGGAATGCATCCGATTTCCAAAGGAAAAGTAAAGCTAGTCATATGCAGAATGAAGATGAGAGAGGCTATGATTATGATGTTGACAAACTCAATCAAATTATAAATAAATTGGAACGAGTTGAAGCAAACCAAGAAGCTATGAAAGTGTTTATGTTCACAGCCAAAGCAAACCAAGAAGCTATGAAACTGTTTATGTTCACAGCCATAGTCTTGATTGGTTTTACCATGCTAATAGCACTACTGAAGTGAATGTAACCTTTTAGTTATTTTTTTGGTATTTTGTATTTTTTTTTTTGGTGGATGTATTTGGGTTTTGAATGTTGTAGACCTTAAACTATGAATGTTGATATGTAAAGCTTAATGGAATTACCTACGTTTGACGAATGTGATGCGCTTGTATTTTGTTTCTGTCAATGACGTTACCTGAAATTACCTATGCTTGACGACTTCATTATTTTATAATGTTGTGGACAGCTCTCATTATTTTATAATGTTGTGGACAGATTTCATTAATTTATATTCTTATTATTGGTCAGGTCATACTTGTTCTTTACCAAATCTGTCCACAACATAACACAACCAAATATGTCCACAACATAATGTATCCAAATCTGTCCAAATTTGTTTCTGTTAGCATGAAATTATGTTGTTGGACCTACCCTTACAATTCTAGGTCTTGCTATTCTGTACTTGTGTGTTGTGCGCATCACTCCCTTCCAAGGCCCAACCTAATCCTTTCCTTTGTCTTAATCTCTTTCCCAAATCTACAAACAAACACAATATTAAATAGATCCCACCTCTATTTTAATTTCATTCCTCCCTCTGTACCCAAAACAAACGGGGCCTAGGTGTCCAAGGGCTAGCAGCTAGTTCCAAGTAGGTTACTTGAATGAGCTGGTAAAGTTGTTTTACATATTAATAAATGAGTGTCTCTGAATTTGGGAGTTACTATTTCCGGTTAATGGTATGACACAGACTCTTTAAATTATGTGAATTATATGCTGAAAACATATGTATTTTATAATTTTAAAAAATAATATAATTTTAATTTTTAAGTCATAATTAAAAAAATATTATAATTAAACACATTATAAAGTATAACTAAAGAATTAATGAGTCATAATTAAAGAAAAAAATAGTATAATTAGGAATACATATAACATACCATTTTTAAAGGGATGTATATTAGAGTTTCCCATTATATGCGCTCTCAATCTTATGGTATATATTAAGTATTTTTATGGTCAATATTATATTTTTTTAACAGAGTTACCATAATTTGTGTTTCACAAATAAAATTACGTATTTTTGTGATAATGATACATATTTTTTTATTAAAAAATCTTTGGATAAAAAAAATATATAACATTATCATAAAAATGCATAATATTACCACAAAATGCGTAATTTTATTTTTGAATTATAAATTATCTTAACTTTACCAAAAAATTACATAACATTTACTATAAAAATTAGTAATACATTGAGAGACTTACGTGTAGGTTCTACTAAGTGGATTTATTGTTTAATAGGTTCTATGATAATTAATGACATTTTTCATCATACACTATTAAAAAACGTCATTAATTATTAATTTTCAATAATAATTTGAAAATTTTATCACAAAAAATGTCACTAATTATAAGTTTTAGTTATAGTTTAAAAAATCGTCAAAGAAAGGTCACTAATTTTCAACTTTCAACAACAGTTTGAAAAATTCGTCACAGAAAAGCGTCACTAATTGTAAGTTTGAGCGATAATTTATTAAAATCATGACAAAAAAAATACTAATTGTTAATTTTTAATGACATATAAAAAATTATCACAGAAAATTATTTTTAGCTACGATTATACTAAGACCTATTTTCAATAGAATTTAATAAGAATTAAATTCAACTATTAGGACCTATTGATAATTACTCTAATATTTTATCACAAAAATACATAATAAAATGAATATATAATACACACTCATTAAGAGTTGTGTATCATAGAATTTCCCTACTACTTCCACACCACATTATTTTAGTTCACATATTTAACTTTTGAATTTTTTGTTTAGAAGTTAATTTTCAAATAAATTTCATTAGTTCTGAAATCAGCCTATGAACCAAAGATAAGATCAAACCAAATAATTTTGTTCAAAAATCGATTTCTAAATTAAATAATTTTATTTTAAAGTTAAATTTCGAACCAAAAAGATGCATCCACTGAGAGAAAATCATTCGTAGAAACAGAAGCTCCTGAAAGCTGTCAAAAATGGTTTTATCCTTTCGATGTCTATTTTGACAGGTAGAGAGATAAGAGTTAATGGTGGTTGGTGTTTGAGAAGGACAATGTTACTTGAGAGGTTTGACAAGGACTGTGCTCAGCTTTTCTTAATAAAGCAATAGGGACAACCTATAGCATTTAATATGTGGTTATGTTGGTAGGGTCCTGACTCTTATGCAGCGTTTGATTGAAGAATTTAAAAAAATATTTGGGAAGAAAAAAAAAATATTTAAAATTAAATAAAATATATGTATATTCTATTTTTTATTTTTTAAATATTTTTCTTAATCATCTAACCAAATATAACGTTAAAGCATAATTCCTTTCAGTTTTTTTTTTATTAACTTTATTTTTTAAATTCTTTTAAATATAAGCTTTTTATTCATAATTTTTTTTTAGTAAAAGTTTTGACAATAAGTTTGTTAGAATTGGTCCATGCAAGTTGGTCTCATTAGTTACTTATTTAATTTAAAATAATGTTTGAGGGCCACAAAATGTGTGGTTTAAATGGCTTGAAACTGTCAAAACGATATCGTTTTACGTCGTTTTGGTAGCAAAACGACGTCGTTTTGACAGTTTCGAACCATTCGAGCCACAGATTTTCGGGCTTCCTACCAGTACTGTTTAATTTATACATATTTTTAGTGGGGGATAACAAAGTTCACAATTTATTAAGTCTTTGTTTGGGAAGTGGGTTAATTTTTTGACTTTTTGACTATTTTAGCTTGGGCTAAAAAGCTTGATTTGGAAAGAGTTTTTGGTTTTTTGATTTTTTTGACTTTTTTTGTGAGAGAAGAGTAATGATTATGGGTTAGATGTGATATTTTGTTTGTTATGACTAACATAGTCTATTTTGTCTTTTGTGACTATTTTAATCCCAAAATCACTTGCCAAACACCACCTAAGAATTCAATAGGTGTAGAATTTAGTTATTAATTATACTCCCTCCGTCCCAAAATATTAGTCCCTTATTCCATTTTTTATTATCCCAAAATATTAGTCCCTCTTTATAAATCAAGTACAAAAATAATGTAAATTTCTTATTTTGCCCTTCTTTTAAATTAATAAACAATTTAAAAAGTACAATTATGACATTGATATTCCCAAAAAATGTACTATCAAAAGGGTAATTTTGGAAAATTAATTTTTTTCAAATGCAATAAGTGTACTACCAAAAAAAGTTGGATTCCCCAAAAGGGACCAATATTTTGGGACGGAGGGAGTATGAGATTTTGGGTTTGCCTAGAAATAACTATAGATTTATGTGGTGAGAATCAAAAGAGTAGTACGGAGATGAGAGAACAAATAAAAACATGCACAGGCTTAGATTTGAGTACATTTCATCTCATATTTGTAATCACTTGGTTTTAGTGAATTTATCGTATTATCAAAAGAGTAGTACGGAGATGAGAGAACAAATAAAAACAAGCACATGCTTTAGATTTGAGTACATTTCATCTCATATTTGTAATCACTCAGTTTTAGTGAATTTATCGTATAAGTGATTTGAAGGAAAAAAAAAATTTCAAATAAAAGCCTTGAATTTGTGGCATTGCTATGAGACTCCAAAATTTTGTAAATCTTATTTAGGCCTTCACTTTTGAATTATTATAATGAAAGCTCTCAATTTCTTGTTTACTCGCAATTTTAATCCTAAAATTAAAAACGTATTCCGGACGAAACCGTGCAAATCCTAATCGACCCCGATAACATAGTAATCATTTCTAACATTCTAATATTAACTATTTAACTTTCTAATTATAAATAGATCGCTCAAAACCATATTGTTTTCGTTCGATTACTCGCCTTTTAATTTAAAGCGAAGCAACTCAAACCGAATTATTTTCCTTAAAACTATTTTTTTAATTCTACATTGAAATAAATATTTTAATTGAGCCCATGCCCTCTCACTTTATTAAAATTTCACTTTAACCCCAAATCATTCTTTATATATATAAAAAGTATAAACCATTATTATATTCTTTATCCTCAAAATATCTATATTATATATAGGAGTTTGTACACAAAAATAATTTAAAAAATCACTCAAATCTTCCTCCACATAGTCGGCCATCCTATACATACATATATGAGTGTACTTTTGCAAGCAAATTGCTTGAATCTTAGAGGAATATTGACCTAAGTACCATAAATTTACGAATTGTGTTTGTATCTTGCATCAATCTAGTTCTATATTGACTATTTAACACATAATTAGACCTCCTAATCATCATACATTCCATTACATTCAAACTTCCAAAACTTTTCCATTCCATTGGAACCAAGGACATTTAGGATCTTTCACCACATTTTTTTTTCTATAAATAGAACTCCCCCTAGCATTTTTGCATATCAAACACACACACACACACACACATTATATTTCAGCAAGGGGAGAGAGAGAGAGAGAGAGAGAGAGAGGAGATGAGAGAACGTGCGAGCTTTGGGAGGAGGAAGAAAAAGTGAGCAAGTTTTCATAACACCACCCCTAGGCAAACAATTAAGTCACAACATAACCCTCTCTTTTATTTTCTTATTCAAATACATAACCTTAGAGATTTAATGTTGTTAGGTCTTTTTAATTGGTAATCTCATTTGACAAAACTCATTTTAATTGTAATTTTATTTACTTTTTTGTTTTAGTGAGCCTATGAATGTGTATATGGGAATCCAACCTGAATTGTGCCTGTGTAGAGGAGTTTGTGTTGGCATTCCATATCTTGAGCATTCCTTATTAGCCACTTTGTTGACTATGTACAAGGATCGAGCTGTCATTTGTGTGCTCGAGCGGTGAAGTGGAGAATCCAGTATCTCTGTTTACAAATTGAACTTCTGGGAAATATGTTTCATCGCTCGAGCGGTTGGCCTATATGTTTGCACCACCTTTTACTCACACTGCTTGAGTGGTAAAGTGTGCACTCAAGCGGTCATCGTGACTCTATTTAGTATAAAGTGCGCCGTTTGCTACTTTTAAGGTTTAACTTGTCCAGATTCTTAAAGAGAAGTAAAATATGAAGTATTCTATATTGGAGGGTGATTTATATGAGTTTCCTTGATATATAAAAGGTGACCAATTGATCAACGAACTGCATAGTGCCAAACATCAAGGATTGTTTTAATTCTTTTATTCACATAAAGAGAGAGGTGTTCTTCGGTGGATTCTGGAAAACTTGGGCCTGAAACTTTAGTGGATTCTGGAGTGGTTAATCGTCGTGGATTTGACATCGACGTTGTGAATTTAACATTGAGTAAAGCATTTCAGAGATGAAGACGATGGTGGAAGAGGCATATCGGGTTTAGTTCAATTTGGGCATGAATTTGGTAGGTAATTGAAGGTACTAGTGCGCCGTTTGCTACTTTTAAGGTTTAACTTGTCCAGATTCTTAAAGAGAAGTAAAATATGAAGTATTCTATATTGGAGGGTGGTTTATATGAGTTTTCTTGATATATAAAAGGTGACCAATTGATCAACGAACTGCATAGTGCCAAACATCAAGGATTGTTTTAATTCTTTTATTCACATAAAGAGAGAGGTGTTCTTCGGTGAATTCTGGGGAACTTGGGCCTGAAACTTTAGTGGATTCTGGAGTGGCTCATCGTCGTGAATTTAACATTGGGTAAAGCAATTCAGAGATGAAGACGATGGTGGAAGAGGCATATCAGGTTTAGTTCAATTTGGGCATGAATTTGGTAGGTAATTGAAGGTACTTATGTGTAATTCTTTTTTGTCTTCTTAGTGGATTGTTTTATGATTTTGGCCCGTATTCGTTTTTTAATCACAATCGAAGGTGCTCCAATTGTGGGAGTGTTTGGTGTGGCTTATGTTGGCCAACTTATAGATTATAGCTTTGGACTGTTTGGCTAAATTTATTTCAAACAGCTTCTGATTTTAGCAACTTATTTTAGCTCAAAAAAGCTGATTCTGAGAAGCTGCTCATCCATTGCTTTTGATTATCAGCTTCTACTGTAGACATGTTAATTTAAGATTATACTCTTAGATTTTTTTTTATTTTTTATTTTTTAAAAAATAGAAAAAGACCCAAATGGACTATGGATTATTATTATTATTTTTTATGAGAAATGTAGACAAGTAGTGGATAACAAAATTGATTCAAAAAGCTATTTCACAGCTATTTAACAAACATTACTCAGCAACTTAAATCTATAATCTAACAGCTACACCAAACAGATTAATAGCTTCTGATTAAAGTCATAATTTATAATCTGTTAAGTTATAATTTATAATTTATTTTAACAGCTATACCAAACGGGACTTATGATTTTTTCCACATTAAATCATTAGTCGATTTGTCGTTGATTGTTAGATTGTGATTAATATTTGATGTTTAAAATTGAAACATAATCACGAATTAATATCTTGAAGGTTTTTACATTTTTTCAAATGTATCATTTTCATATGTGTATTCATAGTGTTCTTATGTTTGAATAAAATAATTAGAGCCTTGATTCCTTATTTACTTGTATTTTCCGTTATTTGAAGCAAACTTATCTTTTCTCTACCCGCTTCTCACATTATTTTCACAAGCATACATTCATTATAAAAAATTGAGTTATTTATATACTATTTGGCATGTTATCATCATAAGAAAAGTGGAAAATTGCTCATGGTTGTCTTCTTTTTCCATTACTCTTCTTAGGTTAAGCTTTGCGCAAGAAAAACTGGTATTTTCAGCCCACTTTAAAAAATTCTTGAAAAATGTAAAAACATCCTCTTGATCTCATTTTTATATCAAAACTCTTCTTAAAGTGTTATCTTTCAATTAAAAATGGTTTTATTGAAAAAGAGTGAGTGCTTTGCACTACATGCAATTACAAACAATTGTTTTGAAATTGAAATGGTGACAGGTAGAGAAATGGCACAAGACAAAATAATTACACTGGCAAGGCCCTCTTCACGGCACAATTCATTCACAAGATCTTCTCCATCACTGCCACTGTCATATACTTGGGCAGCACTTTCGGCTATAGTACGAAAAATTTCTTCAGGTGGAGTCTGGTGTTCGATTCTCTGAACCATTTCTTGGAGTTCAGTCTAGAAAAAGGAAGCAATGCAACAAGAAATGGTAACGGATTTTTAAATTAAGCAACCATCAACTCAATGATATTTGATGTCAAATATTTGAGTACTTGCATGGGTGAAACGCTCCACCTCATACCAGTTGGGGCAGAATAGTCGGCGGAATAATACATTTCTAGAAGTTGAGCAAGTTAGCATAGATAATAATTGCAAATCTAAAAGAAACAAGAGCTACCCAAATAGTTTAAAAATCTCCTCAATTTTCACACCAAGGCTAATCACGTCCAACACATAACAATTGGGGCTTGTAGGCTGGCACAATGCCTATGCCATATCCAATACTTGCAGAAAAGCTTACAAGATAAATTACCAAAATAATAGACAAGGGTGAAGAATGAAACAAGTGGACTGTTGAATTACAAATTTTTCATGATCATGTACTATAATGGTCTTTCTAAGTATACAACCAAAACCAAAAAATTTCTAGACTTTCAATAGCCAACTCAACACTGTTCTAAACAAAATGCAACACTCCAACAAGTGAAGAATTGAATGAAATGATACTCAGGTAGAACGAATTGTATGGATAAAATCCTCCCTTCCAGAATTTTAAATTTGGGACTGACAGATGGATCATCGTCCACCAAGAAGTAACTTCCAAACATGAATCCTCTTAAGGCTCCAGTCATGATGCAAACACACAATATTCTTAGCTTGCAATATAACTATGGGGATAAAGCTGCACTTCTAAATGAAGCCCAAACTGACCGTCGTCTTATGGTCCCAGCCAGAAGGAGAACTAACTGAACTCTACTTAGGTTGCTTTTACACAAATGAACAAATAAGTGTTCCAAAAAACAAATAACCCACACAAGATTCATACCACATAGTTAGGAATGTAGGTCACTGTGTAACACATGGAAACCAGTTGCTGGCTTCAAGTAATCTGTACATTAATCAATTAAAGTTCAAGAGAGGTGTGTGTATATGATGCAAAGCACTGGACTGCATTCATAGGTATCGAGATTTCAATGTCTTAGATACAGACCTGAGTATCTTGATCATTTGCTTTCTCAACACCGCTCAAATTTCTTTCATTGTACTGCGGCTGGGGATCAGGCCTGACAACTGGTAACTGTTGAGGGATTGTAGACCTACCACTGAGAGCTTGAGAAACTATGGGCATCATCTGTTGAACCATACTTGTCAGATCAATGCCACCACCTTGGCCTCTACCAAACCCTGAAAGCATGTTTCCAAGGTCTTGGTTATCAAACTGTTGAGCCATTTGATTTACTGTATTCCTCATAGCAGGACTTTGGGTAAATTGCTCCAACATATTCCTCAAGGCATCAGAAGAACCAACACCAGTCTGCTCTGAAACCCCTACCAATAGACCATTTATAGCAGGACCATGAAGAACCTGAGACATAACACTTGCTGCATCAAACTGACCATTCTTTTGCGTTGTTAAGAATCGCTTTCACGTGGCTTATGCTGTTTGGGAAACACATACTTAAGCCATTCTTTTTCTGATTTTGTCTTTAGTAACTTTTTAAAAAAATTATGTGGATTTTTTTACTTTTCAGTTTGTTTTGTATATATGAATTTTAAAAATAATGTTTTTCTTAAAAAAAAATAAAAAATTAACTATTTTTGGCTTAAATTTGTCTTTTTTGAATTTTTTTTTGAAATTTTGAATATTAAATATTTTAATCAAATTATTTTATCATGATTAAGTGCATCTAAAAAGAACAAAAAAAAATTGATTAAAATATTTTAAAAAATCATAAAAAAAATAAACAATAACTCATTTAAAAATATATGTTGAAAAATCAAATCAAACTGACACTAAATTTTTTGAAATTGTTAAAAAAATATTTCGTACCCAAAAAAGTAAACAAATTGTGTGGATTTTTTTAATTTTCAGTTTGTTTTGTATATATGAATTTTAAAAATTATGTTTTTTTTAAAAATAAAAAATTCACAATTTTTGGCTTAAATGTCTTTTTTGAATATTAAAATATTTTAATCAAATTATTTTATCATGATTAAGTGCATCTAAAAAGAACAAAAAAAAATTGATTAAAATATTTTAAAAAATCATAAAAAATAAACAATAACTCATTTAAAAAAAAATTTGAAAAATCAAATCAAACTGACACTAAATTTTTTGAAATTGTTAAAAAAATATTTCGTACCCAAAAAAGTAAACAAATTGTGTGGATTTTTTTAATTTTCAGTTTGTTTTGTATATATGAATTTTAAAAATTATGTTTTTGTTTAAAAATAAAAAATTCACAATTTTTGGCTTAAATGTCTTTTTTGAATATTAAAATATTTTAATCAAATTATTTTATCATGATTAAATGCATCTAAAAAGAACAAAAAAAAAATTTGATTGAAATATTAAAAAAACCATAAAAACTAAACGAGAACTCATTTAAAAATAAATTTTGAAAAATTAAATCAAACTGACACTAAACTTTTTGAAATTGAGAAAAAAAAATTATTAAAGACGAAAATAAGTACAAAAAAAAAAATTTTAACAATGCTACGTAACTCAAATTTTGTAGCTCAAAAGTGGCTCAAATGGCCAAAACGACGTCGTTTTGGGTACAGAACAACATAAAAATGGCCAAAACGAAGTCGTTTTGACCATTTGAACCACAATACAGAACAACATAAAAATGGCCAAAACGAAGTCGTTTTGACCATTTGAACCACAAAATTTGAGTTACGAGACATTTTTCAAAAAATTTACTTTTTTGGTTCATTTTTGTCTTTTCTGATTTTTTTTTTTGAATTTTTTTCAAAAAGTTATAATTTTTTAGTTCGTCTTATTGAACTAAATTTAGAAACTTAAGTTTTTTTGAAAAATTTTTTAAAAAAAAATTACTAAAGACGACAATAAGCTTAAAAAAAAATTTCCAAAAAGCCTAAAAATAGAAAAAATAAATTATGTGATGGTCTTATGACATTGTCACATGTAACCTTGATATTATTAGTTAAAATTATAAAATTCAATACTTATTAGGGGTACTTACGTGTAGGTCTTAATAAGTGAATTTATTGTCTAATAGGTCTTATGAGAAAAATTTATCATAAAAAGACGTTACTAATTGTAAATTTTAGTGACAATTTATAAAAATCATGGCAAAAAAAGTCACTAATTGTTAATTTTTAGCGACATATATAAAAAATTGTTACAAAAAAATTATTTTTAGTAACAATTTTATGAAGATTTATTTTCAATAGGACTTGATAAGAATTAAGTCTAACTATTAGGACCTATTGGTAGTTTATCCTATTTTTTTTTTTTTTATTTATTAGAATGTTGAGAGACAACTTGATAAATATCAAATGTTAAGTGATGTGAAGCATTGCTCCTAAACCACCAAATAACTTCTCAGTATCGAATTTGAGGGCGGTGACAAAAACAGTAGCGGTGGTGGATTGGGTTTACAGGAGTGAGTTATTGTTTTGAAAATTGGTTTTTAGCAATTTATTTCTTTTTTAATTTCTAGTAATTTTTTTTTTTAAAAATACTTTTAAATTTTACTAAATTAGAAAACAGCAATATCTTCTTTTTTTTTTTTAAATGAAATAGTCCACTTAAAAAAGCTAAAACATTTAAAAAATTACTTTTTTAGATGCTTTTAGACTAAGGCCAAGTTTGGCATCTACTAAATAATACAAAAAGTCAAAAAGTCATTATCCTATTTAAGTCACATCATCTTATTTAAATCACATCATCTCTCTAACACATCACATCAAACCCAACCCAAACCCAACCCATATAAGCCAATAAGTCAAAAAGTGCACTTTTTTAGAACATCCCAAACCAACCCTAAATGATTGGAAAAGTTTTAAAAAATCACATAAATTTTGAAATAATTCACTAAAGATTTTAAATATATATATATATATATATATATAACTTTTTTAACTGTTCCCAAACTCAATTTGAGCATGAATGTGCAGTATGAGAAAGAAGGAGGAAGAAGGAGCGTGAAAAATCAAACGTTGACAAAAGTGAAATTTCACATTAATCGTTGCATAAGTCGTGGCATTAGCATCATCCCGCAACAGTAAGACTCATTATTTTTGCAATGTTAGGAATATTAAATTTTTTACTAAATAAATGATCAAATATCTCGTTTGTAAGTCCCACATTCATATAAGATATTTGGTCATTTATTTAGTAAAAAAATTAAGACTTGTTGGCTTTTTGGCTTTTCGAAGGGTATTTTTGTGAATGTAAGCGTGCCAGCAAGGATCAATCAGTCCTTACAGAAATTGTGATTGCCAACCAATTATCAGACGATTGTGTTTTAATTCTTTTCAACCTCAATGAATAAAGATATACGTATATCAGATATACGTTATGTGGTTTTTACCCATAATCTTTTTTCCCGGACTATCTCTTTGACTCTCTCCCAGAAAACAACGATCAAGCCATTTGCACTGTGACTTGTGTGGGTGATACTCATTTTGTAGTATCACTCCACTACTGGATTCGTTGACTGATCAGATTATGGAAGCATGTGATTTACCCACGAGGTTGTGTCATTAAGGTATGATCCGAATTATTTTTATCCGTTGCGTTAATTTATAATGCTTTATGATTTACAGTCTTCTTAGTGGATTGTTTTGTGATTTTGGCTCGTATTCTTTTTTTAATCACAATCGAAGGTGCTCCAATTGTGGGAGTGTTTGGTGTGGCTTATGTTGGCCAACTTATACACTATAGGTTGCAGTCAAGGGAAAGTCACTAGTGAGTCCTATGGTCAATAACCAAGTAAGATCCCAGATCGTCGGAGGAGTCAAAATAGCCTCCCTTCTAAGTCCAGCTTTCTTAGGCAGCACACTACCTTTTTGACAGATCTTACAAGGCATTGACACAAGGTCTCATAAACAACGATAAGGTTCATACATAGAATATAAATACATAATAACCACAATTATACTTGATTAAAAGATTGTTCCATTACATTACATCCCAAAAAGAAAGTTTTAAACTTCATATGAGTCTTACAAAATATCCAAAAGGAAACTTCTAATATTCTAGGATAGCCAAAAGTCTTCAAATGTTTCAGGTTCGACATCTCCAGCTATGAGTTCCTCTTCGTCACCTGGCATGATACGCCGTGAGCTTTGAATGCCCAGTAAACACACACACACACCCCACCCCTTTTTCCCAGTCCAATACACAATCACAATTATAACATCAAGTAGTAAAGCATGATATTCAAAGAAATAAGTAAAGAGTTAGGTCAGATGTTAGCAAACTAGAAATCCCCCAAAGAGATTTCGTCCTCCCAACCACAAGAATCAGACGCGGATTATTCGGTATGCCCCCTCTTTTGCTGCTTTGTTGCAGAACTAACCTCGGATGCCTACCAACGGCTATATACCGCGTAGCGCCAACCGCAGGGCCTCAAAAGAGACGGTAAAAATAGGGCCTTGCCCGAATCCCTCCTTACACCAAGCTCTTTGCGAGACTAGATTCAGAACCGTGACATTTGAGTCCGAACTGTAGTGAGCACAAACGAACAGAACAGGACTCGTCCTCCCGTGGCGTTCGGGGACGCGTGAGCCGAGCCGAGCCGTTTTTCCCAGCTGGCTTGGTTATAAGGCTCTGTTTGTTTTTTTTTTAGTTCTGAATTACGTTAAATTGTCATAATTAATTCGTTATAGCTGTGTTTGAAGCGTGGTTTGTACCGTTAGACTCAGAATTAATTTTTTTATCTTCTGTAAAATTTTGAAAATTTTACGAAAATAAAAAATATTTTTTTCTGTGTTAATGATTCATGTTTTATGCTTTAAAAGACTTCTGGTATTGCATAAATAATTTTCTGGGGTTGAAATTTTTATTGTAGACTTCTGAAAAGTTCTACTATTTACTGGTATTATTGTTTCAGTTTATCAGTTTCTGGATTTTTTATTTCTAATTTTATGTGTGTTTATTAGTTATTTAAAATTCCAGAAAATTTCAGAAAAATTCCAGAAAATTTCAGAAGTGATATAGTTTCTGTTATGGCATAATTTGAATATTAAATATAGCATATTGTTATTTTTTGCCTAGAGTTTCTAATATGTTGTAATGAGAATAGCATGATTGATTGTTATTTGTTTAAATTGCATTATTAATTGTGACATAGCTTGAGTTGGTTGTGAATCTACATTATGATGCTATTGTATGGAATTAGAATTTTTTATCATGCTTTTAGACATGCCATAGTAAGTGGGAGGTTATTCGGTTGAGAGAAATCTTTGTAGATTAACTCCCGAAAACCAATATTTTGCGCATAAATTAAATTAAATTTTGGATAATTGTCACCTGTGGTGCAAGAGATGATTACGAGCATAGCGGATTTTCGATCTTGCGACTTGTGTAATATTGTCACTATTTAATTTAGATTTTTGTGG